TTTTTTTACTAGGATACACCTCTCTCCTGTTAATATTTAAACTTTTTTGCTTCCACCATACTACTGAGTGTTTTATAATCCAAAAAAATGCAATGTCAAACACTGTTTTAATTTATTTCAGATTGCTTTTTATTTCATATGACTAAAACGGGAAAAATTTTTGGTCATTTTTCGGGCTTTGCTTTAGCATATCTTTGGACTCGGTGGTGATATTTGGTTTCTATTTTCAGTGTTTATCTTCACTTACACCATTCTCTAACAAAGTGATAAAAGAATTCTTTGATCGTATGTATGTAATTTGTTAATTAGCAATATGTGGGAAAATCTGAAAAGTGCCCAGGATTGTAAAAATGCCCATATTCTCTTACTACATGTGGTATTTCCACAAATGGTTGCTTCATTGAACTCTTTTTTAATTGAACACTTTTGTTTGAGTTAAAATTAATGATTAAGTAGTTTCTTTACATTCATAAAGATTGGATGTTTTTCTATGAATATCATAGTACTAGTATGCTATTTAAACTCACATGTTTACAGATAATGGCAAAAGAAAAGGGCCTAAACTGGAGGGAAATCAAAAAGCTAGGAGACTTACAGAAGACTCTTGGTATCACTCTTGAAGATGCAATTAAGCTCACCCAAAGTGTCCTCCATCCTGAACCATACAGTAAAGAAGAAGTGTGCAATATTCTTGGTGTAAGTGCTGAAGAACTTGCACAAACTAGTCTCAGCCAGAACACTCTGACTGGTATGGGTTTTTTCCATTTTTTTTTCTCTTTGAACTTCATATTCTATTCAATAGCAGTGTATATCTTGTGATCTGCTTTGTAAAAAAACACTATAATTTGATATAACTCCTTCAATTATTCTTTTAGTTGTAACATAATTGTGCTTATTTTTAATAATGTCAGCACAATATGAGAAGTGGTAGAAATGTAACCGTGAATGAACAGACTAATAAATGCTTTGAACACTCTAATTATAGTTTTCCTCTATTCTTTTGATAATGAAATTGTTTTATCATTTTAGTTGCATCATTTAAGTTGCATGATCGAGCCACCCATGTGTATAGTGAGGCGAAAAGAGTGTGGGATTTTAAGAAAATTTGCGATGAGCAGCCTCACAATGCCTCAGAGATGCTTGGTCAACTTATGAATGACAGCCACACGTCCTGCAGAGACCTTTATGAATGTAGCTGTCCAGATCTTGACCACTTAGTGGACCTTTGCATGTAAGTGTTGGAAGAGATAACTTTGTAGAAAACAGTGATATAGGTCTTGATTTATGTAGCTCTGTATTCCTGTTTTTTTTCTTGTACAATGTTTACATAATATTCAATTTTCTATTAAAAACATAACATGAATTTAGTACATTTGCTTGTTTTTCAAAATTTTATTTTACATGCATGTATAACATCCACATTTTACAGACAAGTAGCATTTCCAGTAGATTAAATTCATACTTCCAAGACTTTCTCTCTGAGGATTTAAAAATTATATCGATATCCCAGCTTAAGTTTATATACATTATATCTCATGGGACATTATTTCTTGTCAGACAATCTGGGGCTCTAGGCTCCAGGCTGACTGGTGCTGGCTGGGGAGGATGTGCAGTGTCTATGGTGCCAGCTGATTGTGTACAGGAATTCATTACCATGGTACAGCAGAGATATTATGCCAAAGATCCAGCTAGAGAAGCGAGAGTGAAGGAGAGTTTGTTTGCCACAGTTCCAGGAAGTGGTGCAGTTATCTATAAGTGGGATGATTAGCAACAGCCTGGTTTTGGTGGAATGTGAAATTTGTTATAAGAACACATGGTGCCAATAATGCCAAACTGCATTTCTGTCTTAAAATTGGTGTTCATCAGAGCAATATATTTTAAACATTTGATTTGATATTTGTATAAAGTATTGTAATTTGCTTGAAGGATTAAAATATGAACTACAGAAGTTCTGTTCAGACTGAGCCATCACTGTCAGTTAAAATATGTCAGTTATAAAGTTAAAGAAGATATATTTTGATATACATGTATAATAATTCAAATAATGAAAATTCATAAGCTTTTTTTTAATAATTTGTGGTAATGGTGGATAACTTGACTGAGCTTGTTCATTATTTTTTCAATTAGAGAAGCTAACATTCCAAAACCTACTTATATACAGAACTTTACAAGTCAATAATGTTACTATTCAGAGGTTTATTATCTTTTAAGACATTTACATGAATTGTGTGATTTTAATCATTTAAAAATATGATATACATGTCATCATGAGTATTTACAAATATCAGATAACCTAAACTGACCTGCTTTTTGTTTCATTAATGAAAGAATAAAAGGGAAATACTTTGTTTTTAAAATGTAGAATGATTAAAAAGTAAAGTGGAAAAACTTAAGTACTATCCAACATAGTTTTTCAAGCATGCCAATGATGCCATGTCATTGTTTCAGTTTTGCATGTAATACATGTACCTGATTTGTCATGCTACTGAAAATAATTAGAGAATTTACTAAAATGTTCTTTACATAAATTTTGTATGTCAGTGAAAACTTTTTGCCCAATTTTTAAACTGATCATTTTCAGTTTTATTTGATAACATGTTGCTCTACATAGCACCATCTGTATCATCTTCATCCTCATCATCACCTCCAGAAAATGGATTCTCCATGCCCAATGGAAGAGGTGTGTGGGTTTGTCTCTCCTGAAATAAATAAATACAACAGAATGAAATGCATGTTAATGTCTAGTCTTTGTGATTTTGTTTCATTGGATATAAACCATATGAAAGTTTTCACTGATATATCATAAATTGTACATCATGTCAAAGATGGATGACTTTAATAAATATGAGGAATATGAAATCTTTGTAGATTTTAACAAAATTGTCGTCTTTACCATTTTCTTTTCCCACAGTTTTTCCCGCAACATTTTCAATTCCATGCTGTTTCTGGCTGCTGATACTTGGTCCTTCATTTTAGATATCTCACGGTTTGTTTCTAAACGCTTCAGTTCAAGTTTTAATATTTCTTGGTTAGTCTGCTCTGTTATTCTAAAACAAAGTGATTAAAAAAACTGTAGATCCATGTAATTTGCACCATTTTGCTTACATATATATTTTTTTTTACATGATGACTATCATTTTTTATTTTTTTGGTCTACAGAGTCAAAAATGTTTTATGTATTCAATTCACAGATAAATGGGGGAAAATAACTTACTGTAAATGATTGAAATTAAGAGGTGATGTATAAAACATCTATTACAAGTAGTAGATTGGCAGTCTTACCTTTGATACTCCCTCTGTATTGCCTGAGAAAATGCCAAGGATTTGTTGATGACCTGCTTATAGGTTGGTGCCGGCAAAGTGGACTCAGTTAAGAAAAAATATGTATCAATTATTTCCCTTTTTAAGTAATGCACGTACGTAGATGGAAAAATTGGTGTAGCATCTTCTCTGATGGTATTTTAGAATGTATTTTGAATATATCTGGTTTTAACAAATTAATATGTGAAAGGATATGGTAGATGTGCTATTTCTGTCCTACGTATCCTCCTGCCTGGTTGTTCCAGGTCTTGTAACTGTCTCATATGCATGTAGTGTGCTATCAGGGGACTCTGGCCAGTTAAGTTAAACTTGACACGTTCAAATTCTGGTCCTGGTCCAATTTGATGAGACTGAAATAAAAATTTAAAGCCATTACATTGTCTGATATCAAACCAACATCCTTTTATGAAAATAATGCTCTTTTCACATCAAGCTGTATGAATGGTCCCAATAAGTAATCCAGCTATGTTTTTTTTTACTCCCTTCAAAAAGCCCCAATGAAGCATGCCAAATAATCTGGTTATAACTTTCTGTGTCAAGTGCGGAGGCCCCGTGCAGGTTACGCTCTTTTGTAATAGCCAGACTATTGAGTTGTCAATTTCTCAAAACAGAAAACTGTTCAGTTCGATGTGAAAAGGGACTTTAGTACATATAATGTATAACATATTGTAAATATAAATTTCATGAAGGAGTTTGTCCTTTAATGCATGTTTTAAAAACTAGATACATTATGTGCTATTCAGCATATTAAATTATGGAAAAAGTTAATTCTCTTAGAAATGATCTTTATCCATTTTTCTTTTACTGGAAATGATTTTAAACTACGTATCTATGAGAAGGTTAAAAAAACATGGTACTTCGTGATTATAAAACAGTAAAAGTATACATTCTTACTTCCGCTGGGTTTCTCCTTGGTGTTCCACAGGTGGCCACTCTTGATTGAGTCAGCATATTCTGGGTATGTGTTGGCAGGGAGCCTGTTGTTTCCCTTGTTGCCTTGGTGATCTCCCTGGATACCAGGTCTCTAGTTTTGTTAGATGTGCTTTCTCTGGAAGCATCCTGGTCTCGCGGCTCATTGCCAAAGCTCATAACATATTTCTCAAAGTTTTCCATGTCTGATTTGGCTTTTGCTGGCAATGAAATAAAGGTTACAAGTAAGATGGAAGTTTCTTTCTTTACAGCATTTATGAAATGTGCCACAGATTAAATATTTCTATTTTCATACATCAAGTGGTCAGATGGAAACTTTTACTATTTTACATACTGTATTTCAGCATACATCTGTGGGTTTCCATGATTAGCATATGCACTATATTGAATACAGTTAATTTTTACCATTTTTCTCCTGATCTGCCTTCAGCATCCTTGCATTATCATCCGTAGCTTTGGCTTTTGGTTCCAATCTTCTTAGATTCCATTGCTTGTGAGTTCCTGGAACTGGCTTAACACCTGGCAAGGTCAAACAATATTATTTGACAGTTACGTTTGACAGCTTTATAATATGTGAAATTCCACAATTATTGTACAGTATATGTAGTAAAATATTGGATGTTCAAGGATATAGAATGTAAATATTCAAAAGAATGTTTTCCTATCATAATGGCAGTTTAGGTTCTACTGCCAAATCATCAGCAAAGCAGTCAAACATAATTAGCAAGCAACTGAGACTCTTGCATGATATTGCCTATTAGATCTACTGCATATAGTTACAAGACTGGGACCTCACCAGTCATCCATTCATATGTTGTATTGAGCAGTTCTTGTTTGAAACCATCATGGAATTGAACTTTAGACTCTGGGAAAGCCTCCAAGAAGGCAGAATAGATGGCTTGAGCAAGAGCCTCAGGATACACCTGAAGAAGAAAGTTAAAGCAGCATATCACACACGTGCACATAAAAGGTTAAACTGAGACTGAAAAAAAAAACAGTTCCATAATGACTATCAATCATAACTTCACTTCAGTCTACAGATGTAAGGTTAGGAAATGTGGCTACATAGCTTACTATAACTGTTGGTCTTTGTAGTTGCTTACCTGGAAAAACTTGTCCTTAACATCAGGATGGATACTTGAAAACAGGGCAACAAAGCTGTCTGCGATTCTGTCAAACAGTTGGTCTTGCTCACTGCTGTGCTTGGATTTCTAAAATGTGTAATGGAAATAAATGCAAAAAGAAAAAAAATCTTTCTATAGCAGTGACATGTCAGCCAAAAAAGATGCACAAATGGTACATAACATTAACTGATAAAAACAGTATGAAATACAAGTCTCTTACCTCATACTTGTTTATAAAAAACCACCAGAATGTGTCCTGCATCAATGCCACTGATGCTTCTGATAAGAAAACTTTCTTCCACATCTTTTTGAAGCCACGCTAAAATTGCAAGGGAAGATTTGGTAACATATAAAATAAATATAATTTTATGTCTTTGATAATCTCAATCATATAACATATACATTAGTCTACATGTAGCATTCAAATGAATCAAAAATATTTTTGTATAGGTTTATCTTTATCTGTCATACAAGACCATTCTCTTTTCTCTTTGTATTTATTGAAAGGCCATTTTTGGCTTGCGTACATTAAAGTCCTGTGCCTTGGTCACTCTATGTAGAATTTGTGGAGTCTCTAGCTGTGCTGGCAGCTCAGTCAACTCTCCCTTCCTGAAGCCAGGGAATGTACAAAACTCGACACCTTTTTTCCTCGTCTCCAGCATCACCTCTGCCAGATCCTACAGAAATGGACACCATCATTTTCAGAACAAATAATGCATCCAAGCTAAGCAATCATTAGTTTTACATCAAAATAAATAGGCAATTTGGCCAACATTATTAGTTTCCACCAAAGTGACATTTTTCACATAGCCATTGACATGCATCAAACTGCATTCATTCATTCACATGATTATATCAATTGACATAAGCCAGTGTTCATTGACTCACATTACCACACCATTTTATAAGACTTATTTCTACATAAATGTGCATTTAGAAAAGGAGAATGAATAATTAATGGATGAGTTACCAGAAGAAAAGAATTTGCTTTTAGAATATACTTTAGACCATGTTAAGAATTTTCCTGACAATAAAAGCAAAAATGGAAAGTTCCAGCTATTACACATACACTAAGAAATGTCAGATCAGCAGGTTGGAAGGAAGACTAATCTATAAGATTAAGAGTAAAATTTTAATTAAGTCCATGCAGTTTCTTTTAATTTATATTTACATGTGTATGTAGGTCCCAAAATACAAGTGACAAATGCTAGCATAAATACCAGTTAAATAAAAAAGAAAAGACAGAAGGTGTGCCAAACATACTCGTATATAAAGTTCAACTGTCCATATTCTTATTTCAAAAAATCCTTACAAAGGGAATGTCAAGACTACAGAAGTAATGCTTGCAAGCATAAATCTAGTATCCATGCAAACACCATGCCCCAGCCGTCCAAAATATATTTCATGCATTATCATAATAAAGCAGAATATTATATCATAATGCAATTTATCTATATACCCCTGGTTTCCATGTGGCAAATTTCATTGCTAAAAGTTTCTGAAATAATTAGAATGAGAGGGAATGTTGTACAAATGGTTCAAAGAAATATCTTCAGATTTGGCTGATGTGATAATTATTTTAATTCCAATGAGTAATCAGTATCATTTTGATGATATTAAAATAATTGTATATTCAAATCTGAAAATAGTGGACAACATTACTACCTTTGACTTTTTGGCTTTGCTGCTATGATGTATTTTGACAGCATCTGATTCTGCCATTTGTGTCAAGAAAGCTGAAAAGAAATCCATTTATTAAAGCATGCCTGAAGTACTCATTGCCAAGTAAATGGTTTCAATCTTAATAGCTGATCTTAACTATTTATCATAATTTTATAAATAATTTTAGGAACTACTGCCTGTATTTAATATTCTAGTCATTTAAACCTCTTTTCTTAAAATCTTAATCAATGTTATAACTTTTAATATTTATTTTCGTTAAGCTCTTAGCTCACAAAATAATCAATAAGAACAAAGGAAAAATATTGATGATTGCAGCATTACTTTTTGGTGGTGCATAAAACAAGTTTTCTGCTCTTCTGGATGACCGTGTTTCTTCAGTGATAATTTGATCTGCATAGTGTCTCAGTTTTCTTTCCAAATCCAGTAATCTGTCTTCAAGGTCATCCAACAAAGTCATGTCAATGGCTAAGTGATCAGAGTTAAAGTGGTATAATAAACAGTACAAAACTTAAACTAAAAGGGGTATATATATATTAAACAAAAGCTAATCGTGTAATAAAAATATAAAACAATTATGTATTTTGCAGAAGAACATTTGGATATATACTGCAGTATATACACAGTACCAGAATTATGTACATGTATATGGGACAAAATATGCCACTTTAATTGCCCTTTCAACCCCTCATAATTTGTATAATGTCTCATACAGGAAGAAGTGAGTATTATCAGTTAACATTTACACATACTGGGTATATCGTGTGCCTTTAGATAGAAAAGGTTTTGCTTGGTACATGTATCTGTCTGACCACTTATACAGATTTTATCAAGGATACGTGCTTCCTCCTTCAGCAAGTTGTATATATCTTCCTGTCCACCAAGGAATCCACCCTCTTCTTGCAAGTGTAGAGGTCCTTCTGAGGTCAGACGTTCTGGCCATTCTTTCTGTAACCACAAGTGGCAAAATTTAAAACATGAGTAACAAAAGTGTGTTACACCATACAATGTATCAAACACAGTTTACCAGAAAGCCTGTAAACAGTGTGACCAATAAACTGCTAACAACACATTGCACACCCTGCTGTACACAACATTAATAATATATTTTTGTATATTTTCCTTACCAGACCATACAACTTCACATATTCTTCATACGTTTTTGGAGGTTTCTGTTCTGACGAAGATTCAAATTTATTCTGCTCTACTCTGTCTGCTTTCATGCCATCCAATTTGGCAAAGATGTTGGCCATTCGATCCTCACGCTCTGCCTCCATACTTAGCTGAATATTCAATGCAAAACAGATTGGGTTATAAATGTGTATCTCACTCAGTGTCAGTACTAGCATAACTTGGTAATCATATAAGGTATGTGTGCAAATGACTTCCTTCAAATTCAAAACATACCCAGTCATTTATTATATGACAATGCGTTTACCGTACGTAAGTAAGGTGAAATTATGTACAAAGTCTAATAACTGGCATTCTATTAGGTACGCACAGCACGACAGTAAAATAAAAAATGCATTCACCTCATTGCTCAGTCACTGTGACAACAAATAGCTGTCGTTTAACGTCTTTGATGTTCAGTTTATTCCAAAATTCTAAAAATTCATAAAAATCATAATGGAAATAATGACTGATGCACTTGACTGATTCAAAAACACAATATATAACTTACTTGATGCACTAATGACGTTACAAACACCTGCTAAATTCGGGTTTCCATGGACGCCTCCATTTTGCAACCTTAGAACTCTTTTGGGAAAAAAGGTAGGTATTTTGCAATCGCACTTCTAATGATCACATCTAATGCATCTAACCATAAAACGGGACAGGCAGTTGTGGTTAGGCTGGTAGCTGTCATCACACATTTAATTTCTTTTTTTTTTAACTTTAATCATATAATCATTTAATCAACGACACAAATCCAATTAGACATAAAGCCTCAAATAGTGAAAAAGGGAGTCTATTTACCAGGTACAATGGGTATAAAGTTCGGCCAATGAATAATTGCCAAACGGACGAGCGGGTTTTACTGGACGCATCTTTTTCTTAGAAGGGTGTGGAAGGGGTGCTTGAAAGCTGAGTTAAACCTCGGGAAATTTGACTATTTAACGCCTGAACTGCATTCGAGGTTGTGAACAGGGCCCTCCCAAAACTGTTCAAAAACTCTTTGAGATTGAAGTGGATATCGATTTGGGCCTACTGTCTTAATATCGACAAAATTCATGTATCAGTGTCACACTATCTCTTTAAGAGATAAGAGATAAACAGACAAGAGATAAGGTTTATTTAGCCAATAAATAAATAAAATATGCAATATTAAAAACGAACAGATTTAACAGGTCAAAAATTTTGGGTACATATAATATTATCTTAAGATTTATACAGAGACCGTTCGGTTATTGAAAATTGTGAATTTGTTTTTCCTTTTATCTGGTTCACGGGGTTGATTAAAAAATTTTTAAATTGCAAAGTGGCTGACAAACCAGTGATTTTCTCGCGTTAGGCCACCCTCTAAACAAAACAACCAGGAAATAGGGAAACGATTTTTCTGAAAAGCAGCAATATGTTCAGGCGCTATACCCGCTAATGTGCAAGATAACTTTACTTGTTAGTCAATTTACTTGCAAGTGCTTATATTCAAATTAAAAACGGCTTTAATTTAATAGCTGACCGACTACTAGTAGTTAAAGCTGCGTTTAAAAACTGCATTGCTCACATTTGATAGCTATGTTCCCGATGCTCCTGTGGTCGGAATTGTGATTCTGTTTATTCACACAACATAGACTCGAACTGAACACAATACTTATATAATTAATATTTTTATTCCGTTGCAACACGTAGGAAATGGCCTACATTTACATTGACATGCATCTACCTGTAGTACATCGCATGGACATCCACTCTTTCAACCACAAAATTAAATTGTGACGGCTACAATGGACTCAAATAAGAATTATAAATTACTCAATATTGAAGTGTTTAACAAAGCCCGATTACCACAAGATAGAGCTATTTCAGATTGGTTGTAACTATTGGAATTGCTACGGTATATGACATACATGTACATTCTTTTTATTCTAAATGTTTCTTGAATCTCGGTGTCTTCAATATGGTTGTTTCCAATGCTGCAATTCTACACAGGACACTGCCTCCAAATTTAGCTGAATTTCAAGGGCGTTCATCCGGGGATACAGCTTCGTCCAGCGTAGAGTAATTTTGAGCCTGGGTAACGTACTGAATCGGACACTTATCTTTCATGATCAGCGCCTGGAAAAGGATTCAAAGTTCCTTTCTAATAAATCAATTAACATACATGTATATTTACGCAGATACCAAGAAGCGCTGTTTAAGAGAGTGCATTATCTCAATAATGCTTGCCTATTACATTGAAGAGTATTGCTTTTAAGCAATAAAAATAAACTAAATTTCACCAAGTCAATACCATAATAAGGCAATGCTGACAGGTGTTCCGCGGACACCTGAGAATATCTTGATGTGTGTTTTATATGGAAAATTTTCTACCCCTTGTATCTCCTTCATCATGGAACTGCTTGTGGCAAATTGACAAATGAATATCTCGTGGTGGCAATATTCTTTCTAAAACATTAACATACTGTACATACCAGCGTCTCCTCGCGCACTTGCGCCTGACGCAAGAAGCACACCAGGGGAGAGTAGAGGAACACTACTATAGCCATACCCCACAGCATCCTTGAAAGAAACGGTAGTTATTCGTGGAATTGGCAATTTTTTACTCAAAAACTGTACGATATGAAGAAAAAAACTGTCAAGGCTTTTAAAGTGTATCATGGAAAACTCTGACAATTGCATGAGTATTATCCGAGGTGAACTAATCCTGAGCAACGTTGCCTAAAGAGAAGATTTTTGTTTTACGTTGCCAATAAGATAAATTCTTTTACAGTGTGCTTACCAAGGGAAACCCATCAGTTTTACTATTGTTCCACACATCGAGGGCCCTGAAACGCACAAACGAGGAAGAGCATTTACATACAGTATGCCAGCCAAACTCATAATAAAAGCATCTGTTGAACGGAATGTAACCTTTACTCATTGCAAATAATAATAATAATAATAATAATAATAATAATAATAATAATAATGAATATATAAATAGATAAAAAAAAATAAATTAAGTACCAAATGCGTATCCAACACAAAATGCCACGTCGGCAATAGCATACACACTGCCGTACACAGAGGTATGGCGAGTGTCAACCAAATATCCCATGTGAGGCATCATGGACGAATCCACCATACCTGAAATAAGAGAGAAAAATATATTGGCACGTTTTTATGTACTCAACTAAAAGAACTAGTTTTTTTAATTATAGGGAGTTTCGTAACTGTCATTTATTACACGACTCAAGTCTCATTTAAAACAATTCAATTTCAATTAAAAATTGAGATCATGCCCAGGTCATTGAAAATCTGGAAATGCGTTTGTAAACATTATTTTGAATAAATGAATTAACATTAAGGGAAAAATCGAATTCTGTTTCATGGAATATTATGCGCCAATAATTCGTATCCTTTCCATTAACATTTTCTCGTGTAGTTACTTTGGTGAAGTTTTGAAACGTTTTTAAACATCAATAAACGGCACGTTAATATGACTTTAATATCAATTTTACTAATATTGACCAGCACAGTAGTAGGTGGAATCGATAAGTACATACTCACCAATTGAAAAGCCAAGTCCAGCCATTGGCGGTATCAGTGCAGCAGGAGTCGCGCAAATAGGAATCTGAAAGAAAACATCCTCATAAGCTGACCGCTTATCCACTTTTAAAGTATCGAATTCACGCATAATGTGCTAACACAGTCCAAGCAGCCTAAACATGCAAAGCAACATCCAAATACAATGATTTTTTTAGCATCCAAAATACTTACAAGTATAATTTTGGTTGGTTGTTAGTGGAGTCGTTTCTATATGGTGTTTGTTTTGTTAGTTTACTATCTAACATTGTTCAATTTGTTGTGATAATAAATCATGTTCGTGCTTACCTTCTTGCTGAAGATGACATTGTGCTCGATCATATTTTAAACATATTTGCCGTTAATCTTTAATCTGCCGGAAATCTTTTGTCAATATCATGTACCAGATGAACAAAACTGTTCAATTAATTTTTTTCATTGACTTGCCTCAATTTTAAGTGGATTTTTTTTCTTCAAATTTTTAATTGATAAAACATGATAAAATTTGCAATTTGTTTATTCCTTTCATAGACAGGATAGCTGGAAGCAAGGAAAGGCATCTATACTTGAACATTAAACATTTGTGCGATTGGTCAGTAAATTCCTTCACCACATAATTACTTTGATGCAAAAGTATCTGAACACTGAATCCTAGTTACCCTCTCCATCGATACTGCCCGTCCTACCGGAAAATGAAATACTTATCTACAAATACAAGTGATGTTACTCCCATCTACATTCTTACAGTCCATACTAATAATTCATTAAAATACGACCAAATTCGCCCATACAATTGTCTGATAACGGGCGGTACGCTTCAATAAATATATCTAGTTTAAGGTATTGGATCGCCCTTAAATTAAGCTATGCCAGATGTTAATAATCGTTGTAGGATTCCATGGTTTCTGGCTCGTCATCCGAATTATCCGCACTTTTTTGGTTTTGGGCGTAGGTCACATACTGGACCGGGCATTTGTCGTTCATGATAAGAGCCTGGAAAAATGAAATTCACTTCTTTAGAAATAGTTCTAACTGGCTTTTAAAGTATCGTGAAACATTATAATGTCGACGCAAGCAATTGCAATTTGCAATGCATTTCTTGAATTGGAAAAGAGTACTGTAAATGATACCCATAAAATATAGTATATATATAAAGAACTGCATGAATAATGCATGAATAATGCAGAGCACAAGTGTATGTTTAAGATGTGTACTTTGTAGGCCTATATGCAGTTTGATAAGCCTGGTATCAAGTGTGTACGTGCATGCATGGTCCTGTGCATTCTCACAAGTGTTGATAACGGTTCCTACCATCTTCTCCTCTTTGACAGCGGGTGGGTTGCGCAGGAAATACATCAGCGGCGCGAACAGGAATACAGTTATCGCCATCCCCCAAAGCATCCTACAAAGTTAACAAACCTGTTCATCATATACACTAGTGCGTGGAATGTATTCTGCCGCTTGTGCCGTTTAGAATTCAAAACTAATTAGTGGATGAATAAATACGACCACCTTGCGTCTCCCAATCTAAAAATTGCCTTATAAACTTAATTTGATAACATCTTACCATCAAAAGGCGTGCCTCAGAAAAGTCAACATGCGTTACTGGTTTCAAAAGAAATGTGAAAAAAATGTGAAACTTGCCATGAAAATCCAACTGCTTTCACTATCGTTCCACTCAAAGACGGCCCTATAAAATAAAATAAATGCAATCAAAGACGATGGATCAAACAGAGACTAAAAGGTCATTGCCAAATGGAACTATCGTTACACGTAGATCGAGCCGACTCCGTGGGTTCCCTCGCTGAATGATTAACATGCCTCCTCCTGGCGTTGAATAGAATGCAGAAAAACTGGTGATCATACGACTATGTTGGAAATATAAGAAGGCGTGTTAATCTGCTAAACCGATTGCATTTAGCCAAAGTCCCCGCGAAGTTGGATCGATCTACGATCTAAAATAGTTTTGTGTGGAATGAATTTCAACACGAGAGAAATAACAATTGACTGTTCCCTTAAATTATATATATATATATATATACGATGAATCAATATTTTACCCATTTTTTCGTAAAGTTCTGTACGTACCAACAGCAAACCCCAGACAAAATGCCACGTCTGCTATGGCATACACGCTGCCGTAGACCGACGTATGGCGCAGGTCCACCAAATAACCCATGTGAGGCATCATAGCAGAATCTACCATTCCTGGAATAAAAAATGATTTTCATGCCTTTGATCCTTGCTAGAGGTTTTATTCCTGACCGCAAATGTGTGCGATACATTTTTCAATACATTTAAGGAGTCAAATTTTCCTATGACAAAGATTGTATTAGTAATGTCGATCAACGTTTTTTTTTACAGATTTTAAGACTGAGTTGACAGGTCGTTGGTAGATTTATTTGAAAAACACATTTTAGTTGCAATAAAAGAGGTATACGTACCATAGCATACCCTTTCGACTTATATTTTGGCATACAAACGAATAACTGCAATAACTGCGTTTATGTAACATGAATGCATGCATTGATAATGTAACATGAATGTATTGATAAAACAACCAGTTTCATTGAAATGCCATAAACAAAAAAGAAGCTAACGGTTTCACTTAGAAAGACCAAAGAAAGAAGAAAAGAATAACTGATAAAAGGAGCTGAAATCTATGAAACTAGAGAACGTGATACTTACCGATAGAGAAGCCTAAACCTGCCATCGAAGGAACAAGTACATTCGGATTACGGCAAAATGGAATCTGCAAAATTTGCCTGGATTTTGAATTCACGGCTTTGTCAGGTTAATAAGGCAATGAGAGCGCCGAGAAAGGGCGATGAGAAGTTTAGTACTGTAGACTACTTCAACAGCAACTGTCAAATTGTGCTTCAGGTCAGCACCTGACCATTCCGTTATTGAGAGTAGCGTGAACCAAAACTTTTTGCATGAAACGTTTTAGCTTGAGCAATTGATTTTAAATTAAGAAAAGTGATTCTGACAGTGCTCTTGAAGGTTAACAACAAGGCTACAACATACAATTTCCTAAAACAGAGTCTACAAACAATAAGGAACACGGATACATTGATATATAAACAGTGCATCAAGCATGCCTACAGTCACTTACCGATAGCAAACCCAAGCCCAAAATTTGGCGCAATGAGGTGAAATATATTCTTGGAAAAAGGGATCTGCAATGACACAATGACATCACTGACGTTCACAACGTTCATTGGTAGAGTGCAATTGAATCGTAATAATAAGCGTGACAAGGGAAGTGACATAAATGTTTTTTTCGTGTAAGATAAGTAATGTATCACTGTGGAGGGTGCATCACGATGCTGTTCACAAAGTGTGTTAGCTTGACAACACAAAATGTGTCACGAACTGAACAACACGGCACACCGAAATAATACGTTACTTTAATCGTATTAATGAAGGAGACATTAATGAAGGAATTAAAGAAACTATTCTTAAAATTTGGGAGGGTGCAAAATCTTGATAGATTACAGCACTATATGTTGATAAACAATTAAAATTGTAAAAACTTATTGTTCAAAGAACAACTTGCCTGCTTTTGTGAAGAAAACTATAGTTTTTTTTAAATTATTCGGATATCTTTTATGAGTAACCCATCTTTTTAGATTTCTGTTTACGTATAACTGGTCATACAAACCACCAAGATAACCTACCGCTACGAGGCAACAGCCGATAATAATCATACCAATCAACGAACTAAGCCATCTGAAGAAGAAAAACGATCCGTTAAAAAATAAATATATATTGAGGTCTGAATGCATGCTCCTGAGAGACAGTTTGACAAAATAAACGATTTGATACTGGGACAATTATAGACAATATGTATTGAAAACTTCACCTTCCGATCTTGTTAGCTAGCGGTCCAAACGTATTTGTTCCTATCATGTATGATATGCTGGCTGGGAGGAAAGCTGTGCCTGCAATAGATATAACGCCATTTGCAAATACGGGTATCTCCATTTGCACTTACGGGTATCATATCAATATCAATTATTAAGACACGTATTTTGTTTTGATGCGCTAGATATTATTTCGACAGTAGATTTTCAATCTCGACATCTGGGACACTGGGTACTGAACAACATTCAGCAAGAAAGTAATCACCTTGCTGCCATTCCGGTGCATTCATTGTATCCAGCATCCATATTGGAAGTGAAGGCTCTAGCATGGCAATGCCCATGTTAGCAAAGGTAATGGCCCCTAAAACAGTGCAAAACGGACTCAGAAGTAAGATTAAATTATAGATATCGGTATGAACGTAACGAGGACGCACTTTGTCAAGAGTGAAAACATTTGACACGGTAATGTTTATATATATATATAAAATATAAAATATAATAATACAACATTAATGATGATAATGATAATAATAGTTGAAGTAAAATCTACCTGCGGCAAGAAGAATGTAAGGATCTGTCAAGAGATTTTTCAGGGAAGCTCCTTCTTGACACTCCGGAGTTACTCGGGGTTTTAGGACGATAAGCTGTAATACTGAAAGGCAAAATATACGATTAAACGTGCAACATGCACAAATATTCTTTAATATGTTAATATTTAGAATTAATATGGATACGGGTTTAATGTGTACGGTTGCTTAAAATGGAATACAGTGAGTACATACTCAGAAAAAAAATAAAGGTATAGTAAACGATAATTGTATCAGGTTTTAATCGTGTCAATCTGAATTCTTACTCTAGTCTGAATGGAAGATTCATGATGTGCGTTAACTTACATCCATCAAATAAAGCCAATGCCGCTAATATAAGGAAAGGCGCTTCCTTGCCTGCAAATTGGTACATCACACCACCGAACGGAGGACCAACTAAAATTTGATAAATACCACATTTTGCTATGTTTCTGTAAATGTTGCTACCTCAAAACAAGGCCGTAGGATTTTAACCTAAAGTACTTTTTTTTCATAATTTCTTGTGCTTATGCAGTTATCTAAAATGTTAGATACCTTTTAATAAAGATATTATTATCCCGATAAAAATTGTATTTTAGTGAGAAGTACAAATATACATGTAAGCGTTATCTTATAATTAGCCTAGTGAAAAGTGAACGTTAAAACATATCTAAAGCAAACTTCGATTGGACAAAAGTGTCGGTCGGTAAGTTCAAGAAAAAATGTCATGACGTAAGAAAAATTCGATATTTGTGTTATTTTGAGTCAAAATCCAATAAACCTTGAAGTGTGTGTCCTCCAATTTGATGGATATTTAACGAAAATGTGGCATTCATGCAAACTCATCATAAAAAACGTGTACATTGTTACTGAATACGATAAATATTTTTGCTTTAGCCTGTATCCTTCTGTCTTTCACTTTTTAGTAACGATAAAGTTTTTGTTCAATCTCCCGGAGCTTCCTGTCCTAAGAACTCACTAAGAACCCCTAAAGCTAGTCCACTTAGAGCAATCCCCATGGCGTGTCCTCGCTCGTTGTCATCAGGGTATACCTCCGCTATCATACCCATGCCTGCAACAAAGAATACCCCAACATGTATACTGTCGTGGTGGACCCAGGCACGTTAGTGCATTGTATAATGAACGGTGTATAGCTTCATCATTGATCATGTTGATAAACTGAACCTAGTTTGAATCACTGTAACCACATTCATGGCTGAAACCACACAAAACTATTGTTGATCTACTATCCGATTGTTGAGTGCACGAAAAGCCTATTCATTTAGCTTATTCATCGAATCGATAATTCAGACAGTGAAACTGATTGGATTCTTAACTTGGCTCGTTAGGTAATAATGCAAGAGACACTTCTTACGCTTGAGTATTTGGTACTGTTTTAAAGACTAGTGAACTTGGTAATAGATACTTACCTGACACACTTGAACAGGAAGACCCTACGCCTTGAACTGCCCTCGCCATCAGTAAGAGCCAAAAACTCTCCGCGAAGGCAAAAACTGCAATGTTATTTCATTAATTATAGTAAGCTAGTTTATCTCTTCAATTGAAACAACTACAATATCCAACTCTTTACTTTGCAATGATCCCAAAACGCAATTGACAAGAGGAATTCAAACTACTAATTAAACACTTCATATGGAATTTAAAAATATATATATATAAATCTTCCGCCTTATTCTCCAATGGCAAATTAATATTACTCGTTTTTGCAAGTTAAACATTTACATAATATGTGTTAAAATAAGAACGAAAACATACTTATTGTTGAAACAAACATGATGACAAATCCTGTGAACATTGGTATGCTGTAACCGATCCTGAAATTGTAAAAAGAGTAGGGGAAATACTAAAAAAAATTAACGTTACAGACAAATCATTCCATCATCTAACCGTCATAGTTATTGAATGATTGAAAATATTCACACAGAACATATCTACATAAACTGAAAGTTAACTTTATGTAAACTGAAATTCTAATTTCTCGAAAATTGCCTCCCATAATTCAACGAAATTGCACTTGATACTACAAAGTTTTTAGTTTCTTAGATTAAAGCATTCTTTCTGACTGCCAGTGCCTCTGTTAAATTAATTACGCTTTCAGTCAGAATGAGCCAACAATACATACCATTAAGGTGCAAAACATTTTAACCTAGTTGTGTTTGAATCATAATAAATTTTGTGTAGACTTGCAATTACTCTGTTTAAAATCCTATGTCACAAAATTGGGGTCTGCCTATCCAAGAGCTCCTTTAATAAAATGATCTTATTTCAGATGTTTAAGAAGATATTTGCTGATATAAAGACACGTTTCATGACAGAAGAGAAACTGAGAGAAGTTTGCAAGTGTATACAAGCTGATCGATTGGACCTCTCTTCTAAGAAAGTCCTACTCGTACCACAGGTAAAATCCCAAATCACTACATATAATACAAACATTGCGTTTTTTGGACTGTAAATTTTTAACTGAACGCCTTAGGGATATCACTTTAGCTTGAATTTAAAACTTTTGTCCACAAGAAGAAATATCACAACGTAGTATATTTAAATGCAAAATGATTAAATATCAAGAAGTCCGGTAAGATTTTTATCCACTAGATTTCAATATAGTTTCACGCTGAGTGCACAAGAGCGCATTGGAATTTTGGGTGTTTAATACTACTCCATCTGTAACAGGTTACCTGCATGTACGTGCATGATGACAAAAGATCCTTTATCAAACTTTAGTGTCAGGTGCATATACCGAAAGTAAATCTTCACGTGTTTATTGTTTTATTAACAATATGTTAAATAAGTATTCTGGATTCATATATGTAGTAACGTCAACGGTAACTTACCTGTTGGTTAAAGGGCCAATGAATGGGTTCGTAAGTAGTTGTACAACTGCCTTAGAAGCAAACAGTAATCCTACTTTGACACTTTCGTTTACAAGATACAAATGTCGCTTTTTTGCCACTTCCTCTGTAGCATTCATGACCGCCTCAACGTCGATATTGTCCTCCACCGTGGTTGCATTTTCCGCCAAAACAGTCATTAAATATCTTATTTCGTAGCACTCATCTGGTAGATCGACCTTTGGAATATAATGCTTCACCACTTCATCCCAAGTAAAATTAGACCTCGTGGTGGCGTTATGGTCTGTGCACTGTTTCTTATAAAGGACCGTGACATTTTGATAGGTCTCATTGCCTTGTCTGCTAATGTTCAATGAGTGCCTAATAGAAGAAAGGTTCCTTGATGCTGCGACTAAATCTGGATGATCCAAATGGTAAAGGAAATTTGGAATAATAGGCACTGAAAGAAATGAAAAATAAAAAAGAATTCTGAGTCATATGGCAGGAATAGGGCCTATCTATCTAGATGTGTATATGTAGTAGAATTTTAATTCAACCAAAATAATATTGCCTGTCTGAAAAACACAAAAAAGAAGTTTACGGAGTGCTTCGTATGTAAAAGAATATTAACCGTTTGTTATTTCCAGTAAGGCATATGATTGTTCTAAATTATGCTTGGCAAACTGAGGTTATCCCTCACACTGGTGGACTGTGTTATGGTGAACTAAAGATTGGGATAAAAATTCCTCTTAGCGTTTGATCTAAATGGTAATTTTGCTCAAAATACCTAATCTAGCCGCCTATCCTTGAGTCTTTGAGACTTTGCCTTAAAAGATGATATCTGACATTTTAGCTTCACTGCTTGCACAAACACAATTAATCAATAAGCAAAGAATGTAATTGCAGTCTTTATTGCTACGGCATACAATCCCAGAATGAACCCTAATGGATGTTATTATTCCAGCGCTGATTTTAATACGCAAAACCATATTGTATTGACTAGTTGCTAGAAGAAATTCCAACCAGTGAGACGAGATATAGGATATCTAGTTTCTCTGGAAAGGATAGCGTTGTTTTTAGTTTGGAGCATTATTTTAAAAATTTGCGTAAAATCCAATAGGTTCACACCCTGCTGGGGTGTCAGAGACATTTTGGGTGTAGATATCCCCCTTTTTTTGGAAGTCGTTCCTCTGATAAAGGATATCTTTAAAATTTTTAAGAATTTCGCTGAACTTTCGGTTCTGTGTGAGCGGATTGGTAATGACAAAATATGACAAATGTATGATTATTATAAGATTTATTATATTTCAGAACCTTAAAAGAATACACTAGAATTTTTTTTTTTTTTTGCCGCGTTTAAGTATACAGTACTTCCCACATTGTAAACTTGCCTTCAAATTGCACGCAATACCTCGTTTTCATAGATGGCCCGGTATCAAATTCCCATCATGTATTTCCAAGAACAGTGCATGGCAAACTCAAAGAAACTATCTCAATGAAATTAAATGAATAGAACAGCATCTGAACGGGTATTCCACTTAACATGTCAATGGTGAGGCCAATAATAGTTTGGATTGATGGATTAACATTTTGGAGACGGACAAAATTGGTTTTTAGAGGTGTTATAGACCTTTTCTATTATTGATTACAAATGTTATGTATTTGAATTAAACCATTTGTCTTGACTTCGAGGGCAAATACAATACCGAGGGCGGTAGGTAAAACTAATAATGCAAAAAGTGACAGATGAAACTCTCTTGCCAAAGAAACGCTTTTTTTGGTAAACTACCTGGTATAAGGTCAAATGTTCATGTCATGTGCACGAATTTTCTGGGATTATTATAAGTATCATCATGGTAAATCGCAACAAAATGTAATGCCTATTAATATCAAAATATAATACAATAAGGTGTGAGATTGAATGAGGGGAAAATGAAAATGAAAGAAAACTGGCTCAAACTTGATACTCACCTACTGTGGTCAGCAGCATGTTGTCAAGAAATATGGCTATAAACACCACAACCAGTACAAGGGTTCGTGACTGTCGGCATTTAGCGAAGCAATCCTTTACTGTAAAGTTCCTCAGCTGCTCCTTAATATTTAGCGTCATTTTCCTGACGGCGGTAAAGAAAAGATGCGTCTTATTTTTGGGGAGACTCAAATCAGGCAGTTCTAAGATGCAGTGACAAACCTTCAGTCCTGAAAAGGCAAGACAATAAGGCAGTTATATAATGCCCATTCGAGTCGCACTGTAATAAGTATTTTATATAGTGCGATTACACCCATGTTAAATACACAGACCATGCCGTGTGCCTATCGTTATAAGCATTATAAACAAACAGGGTCATAATGCGTCCCGCGAAGTTTCGAAACACTGTCCCTGGTGCATATTGGGATATTCCAGATATTTTACTTTGTATTGATCAATATCGTGGCACTTGCATGTCCATCTCAATTCGCCGCCGATAATCATGTTGCCACAGCCTTCGCCGCCCGCGGTGCTGATGGCGGGTATCACAAGCGGGTTTCTCTGTTGTTTTATTTACAGAGCTTGCGAACTTCCTCAACAATGACCTCTGAAGAACAGAGCTATGTACTGACAAAACAGCCATCAGCAATATTGCCGGTCGTCGATGACTTTGAGTTTCATAGTTTTTAATTTTTTTTTCAATTTTTAAGCATTTACAAAATAGTCCAGTTTCTTTAATTAGACCATACCATTTTTCAATCAGATTAGGAAGTATGTTGGTCTATGTTTGTCCTAAACATCTGTCATTCAGATGACAAATCCTGCGCTCAGTAGACCAAACGGGTCAGAAATTTATGTTTTAAGCTTTCTCTACCTCTATCATATAAATTACCCACTGCTTCGGCAGTGACAGTATCTTGGTCCTCAACTAAAGAATCCCGCCAAAGGGACCATAACATATCCTCTTTTCACTCACTCTGATCACCGGAGAAAGTTTTTGCATTATTGCTGTACACTACCTTTGATATTCCTCTTCTCAAGGTAAATCTGAAAGACAGGCGAATTTTTACACCTGAAGGAGCATTTACCATCGGCTCCAAATGTATACAGGTTCCTGTGCAGCTCTCACAAACCCACAACGAAAATAAGAACAAAAATTCTGCTGACGAAAATGATGGGAATATACTGGGCCCACATAATCCACGCTGGGGAGGATCTACCCCACTCTGCTTTCAAGCAAAACCTAGCAATTAACACTATGTACGGGCTTGCTAATATGACATGCATTCTGATATCGAAGTTATACAGAGTAATTGCCCCCCCCCGTCCCCTGTGAAATCAGTGGTGCAGGAACATCTGCATATTATAGCAGATAGTGTTGGAATCTCATGTTCACCAACAACTTGGTACAATTAAGTCTTCCCATTACTCTGAACAGAATTTTACCATCCAAACAGGGAATCATGTCAAACAACACAGATCTCAAATATGAATTGCTATTCACTTTCTTATCAATATGATACTTTCATATGACGAGCATTACATTCCACTGTTCCTCGACAGACACCACCACCAGAATACTTCAACACGCCGTACCCAACACTTACATATATCATTATTCTGAACTGACAATCTGTTAGATTTAAACATAGCGAGGGAGGACAAGTGAAATTACCTGACACTATCATTGGAACACGACTTGACTTTAACATACTAATCAATGAGATTTCACCTAGTACATTATTTAAGAAAGATTGAGGTATGTCCCTCGCATAAACAAAAACTAAAACTGCACTCATCTTTCAAGAGAATCTGCCACATAGACAATCTTAATATCTTCCTCTTATATGTCACCACGCGCCTACATTCGCCTCTAGCGGCTTCAACACCGAATTTAGCCTAATTGAGAATCTACTCAATAAATGCATATATATTGGCCCGCCCAATTTGCACACTGATTGTTTTAATCATTATTTTAGTGAGGAGGGCGTGTGTAAATAAACCTATCCTTGGAAGTTACTGTTACTATCAAGCCCGCCTTCCAAACGGAAATCATATTGGTTTAAAAAATCACAAAACGTCACAATTTTGCGTCATTCAATTTCTTAGAAGCTCTTTTTAAATTCATCATTTGTATCTTAAGGTGTGGTACTAAGTGGTAGCACAATTGTTTATCAAAGTATTAAAATGATTTAAAGCGGTGATGTTTTTCAAATGACGTGTCAACTTCAGGAGATATTCATCCTCTCGACTGACGAAGGCAGAGTCAGCAAAATTTACTTAATCAGTATTTTATTATCAGTAAAAAAATCTGCTTACAAATAATTCTGTAAAAAAAAACTTTGATTGCGTGACTTTAAGTTTGATTACGTTTAACAAACCAGGATACGTTATTGCAAACTGATTTAATGGCTTGTAATATCCAAAGGTTATTGCTTTAATTACAACAGACGAGAAACCAATATCTACGCTATTACAAGGGGATCAATGAGAAAATGAAAGCTTTACGTTTATGGAAACCGAGTGGGCAGGCGCCTGCCGCTGCGTCACGTTCAGCACACTCTACTAAGTGACATGATTATTGTTCACTTCAACCAGTTATCATAACATCAAGTCAAGAGAAATATGGAAACCAGATGAATGGCGTTTATCTTGGCCGATTATTTACTTGAATTACTACTGATTTTTTAAATCTTGGAATCGGATGAAGTAAAATGTACTTTTTATATACTATTTTTTTTCTTCAATAACAATGTGTATAGATATGTTTTCATATAAACCAGATGCTAGTGGCGTATGCGGGTATGCAAAGTTTCCTTTGATACTTTATTTTGACTGAAATCGGGGCCAGATATTATGAATAAGTATAAAGTAATATCGGGATTAAGTACACAACATTTAGTTCTTTTTAGTTCATAATAATTCATAATAATACTTTACAGTGGTATTTTTGCAAATCAGCATCGAAGAACCTTAAAAAAGACCATCTTATTTGTCTATTTTTATCTCAAGTGCACATTATTCATTAGGCACATTGAAAAAATTTTGTCCGTCGAAGACTGAGGTTTTATTCCACTTCACACAGAAATCTTACAACAATAAATGCTCTGAGGCTGATTACTCGTCGATATAAAATGCACTAGACATTTATTATAGCAACAGACGGGCTTAAGACCCGTGCATGGTTTGATCAATACCTCGCAGTGATTAACTTTAGATCTTATACAATTAGAGTGCTATTTATTGAGATCAAATATCTCTAACGTTAATGTTTGCTTTTCTCATAACTCCCAACGCCTGAACCGGATAAAAGTTGGTGAATACATGAAATTTCCTCATTTTTAACCGTGTTTGTTATACCCGGGAAGTTGAAAACTAAACTCTGCCACCGTTTGATTGGTCAAATCTATAGATCGTGAATTGCTGTCTATTTTGAGGCAATTATGAAAACATTGTCCTTGTTTGTGTAGGAGTGTGCTTGTATAGGACATTTAGTGGATATGAAGATGTCTCTTAAGCTGTTCTCGTCATTCTGCGTTTACATTCGCAATGGCTTTTATGCGAAAAAAATTGTACGGGATAGTTATTAATTGCTGTTTTTCAAAGTAAAGCAAGAATGATAGTCAATACTTTGAGCACATTATGCGAAGCGTCACTGCTTTCCAGACTGTTCTGATGTCACAACTTTTAATTGCTTTCCAAATATTATTTGGAGCCGTCTATTATAGCCATTTATCTAAAAATGCCTCCATAGCGTTTATATGAATTTTTTGGCTAGGTATTTGTACACAGCAAAGCTAGCTAAAGCAATGATTTTCCAATTCCTATATATCTTCCATTCTCATATCTTTGTGGGCAGTTTAGTTTCACTATCCACAAAAGGGTTCCCCCTTTCCAGATCGTCAGTGAGGACATTTCATTAGGTAACAGGTCTAGGTATTGAAATGCTCTATACAATATAGGTCGTGCTGCGAGATGTTAGCTGCACGTGATGCAATTTGAAATTGGGGACTGATCTTAGTTATTGCGATGTTGGTCTTAAACATTTTTGTCGTGATACCACGATGAACTAACACTACGTACAGCAATGATTTAAAAAATACGAACTACTATGTCGCTTACACAACTACTTTCATCAAATGGCCAAATGGCAAGAATCAATCATTCATTCAAAGGCGAAATGTTGCATTCTTGTCAAAGTTGCGATTCTATTCAAAGCTTAATTACCCTGATACTTAAACCACTTGTGTGCGCTGACAAAGACGAAATGTGTAAGTGACAGTTACTGCTGGAATAGCCTAAATAAAAAAGGATCTAATTCACTCAACTTATTTCTGCGAATAATTTCATAAAACCAAAATAGTCACCGTTACTCAAACTTGTGTCAAAAACAATTAACTTGTGATTTCTGGTTGAAGACTTCTCGCTAAAGCTGCATGCAATGGAAATCATCGTTTGGATTTATTACAACATAAATAGTTTGAAGATTCTTAATTCAGATATATGGATATGGAACCAACTTTTCATGCTGCGTCGATCGTGATGGTCTTTGCCTTTCCATTGGTAGTAAAAGTACAAACTCGCTTCAAGCACGCCGTCTTACAACAAGGTGGGCGTCACCATTCGGGTGGATAAAAGTCTTAGAACTGGTTATGGGTAAAAAAAGTGGCAATCCTTCAAATGAGATTGCATCTTTCAGTTTCATAGACGCAATTTTATCTTCAAGAATCAAACATCATTTGACTTTGTGTACATTTAAAACCCAGTGAATGGTTTGGTGTTTAAGTTCAATAAGATTTTCTCCTGATTTCAAACGCGTCAACAGCAAATAGAAAAATGAATAATATCATGAACTTTTTGAGCGCATGGATATCACTTTTTATAAGACAAAACAAAGCCATAATTGCAACTTACTGTCTTTCGAATCCTTTTGAAGCTATCTCTGGTCTCCGTGGTGAGGTTTAGGCTTGTTAATTTGCTAGAAGTTATCGCTCGTTCGATGTCAGTTCCTGTTCTTAATTAAAGTCGACACCGAACCCAACGACAGCTTAGTGGTCTTTTACCGCTTACGTCTGTAACCAATAAGATGTGTTTACTTTAGCCCCGTAAAATTCCCTGCTCCCAGCGAGCGCTGAACACCTCTCGGGATTGCCGTTGTTCGCCAAATGAACCTACAGATCGAAGCTTGCAAAGCTCGAATTCAAAATCTCAAGAACAATTGTCTAATCTGACGTACGCTTTAGATATACGTACCCGTGAGCACATCGCCTACAGAGGGCCTGCAATACGGCATGCAACACCCATTAGTTTCAACGTCACAGCACTACGTCAGAGCAAAACAAATAAAATTGGTGGTTGAATGTATTGCCTCCTCGTTTGTCCACATTTACTCAAAAAATTATGCCAGGGTGGGGGCATCTAGCGCATTTTGTCCATTTATTCGAACGAAGACAAGTCTTTTGTGCATTTTGACCGTTCGCTTTTTCTATTGCATTATTTTTTCTATTTAACAATGTAATTTCTTAAATTCAGTTTCAACTTTATTTGTCAAACAGCAGTTTGAGATATATGTGTAATTCCGGCGCACATGAAGAATATTTAGGACAGACGAATTCTGTGTTATATTTTTAGGCACCAAACTAGCATGGCTGAACGTTTTCGAAATTAGAAAGCGGAGATGACGCTAAGACCACCAGCTAAAGGCCTACCCCGACAGCTAGCTAAGATCAATTTTCACAAAAGCTTTTAATTTCCCTTCAATGAAAGAAAAGTATTTCATACAAAAATCGTAAATATTCATGTCGGAAGCCGTTTCCGTGGTGATCAAGCAACGCAGGATCCTAAATCGATTTGGGGGATCAAGAGGCAGAAACGCATTGATTCGTAAGTCAACAAATCAAAATTGCATGCTTCAGTAGATTAATCAAAGAAGGCTGATGGCTGAAAAATAAGTCGGAGAGGAGAGCTTCTCTATTTGTATGAAACGGCAAGTGCTATTCTGAAGATGAATAGAAATACATGTAATCAGTTAATAGTTGTCAAGGAGTTTAATATGGAAGATGTTCTCTCAAACATGCAAACAAAGTGCACATTGTTTTCAGCGTCCTTTCTTATAATCGAACCGTCACGTTCAGTCATATACGTACATGTATCTAATCACTACGGGAGTTACATGTACATAAAGATTGCACTGATAGGAAATAACGGGATACGTTGTAGAGTTAGAACAATTTTGACAATTTACTGAATTTATTATGAATCTTTTCTCCTAAATGGAACAGATAATGCAAACTTTAGAGTAGATCCCTATTTATCAATGTGGATGCTATCGCTTTGTAGGCGTTTTCGATGGATATTTTTGTCACGTGCTCTTGTTTCGTATAGGAAATAAAAATCAAATTCATGTTCATGTTACATATATCAGGGAATTGTATCCGATATAATTCCCTGCATATATCAAAATGAAATACATTAAAACAAATAAAGAAGGCTGGGGTCAATAAATCATTTATGGTCTAACCTGGGAGAAAAGTAGAACTCATGACACCGCAATACGAATTATTTGAAAATAGACAAAACATGCGAAAGACGAACTTCAAGATATAATATCACTCCGATTTAGAAAATCAAAAACAAGGACCTACGAAAGTTGAAACGCTCACGACCCTCGTATAGACAAATCAGGATTATGTTTGACCGACTTCAGAAGTTCATGCTAATATTCGGGTTTTTAATACTCATCCTGATATAATGCTATTCTGCTTCGATTGATATGCATGTTCAAAGCTGTTTAAGGGAACCTTCATGCACATAGCGTTACTTACTGAGTAGCTATTTATAAATTCATGAAAATTTTTAACATAAATTTGAGCTATCTCGTCCACCAAGAAGAAGGAATACCATCACCAGAAAAGATACAATCTCCTCCGTAGCAGATGGATAGGATGCGATTTTTAAGTGTGTGTGTGTGTGTGTGTGTGTATGTGCGCACGCACGTCGGGGTAGGCTGTTATGAAAAATATGTAGCTACATGTATTCCCCTTATGACTAGCGTAGTTAAAAAATTAACCTTTCCCGTGGTTCCTGCTCCTGGGGATCGTCAGATATTACAGGTTACATACATCTATTTTGATTTTTTTAATTCAAAAGGAGAAACACACCAGACATAAACAATATGTTTATTATCCCACATTCATATCATAGGCATTAAGCAATAATGCAATGCAGTCTGCGATCTATGATGAATGTATAAAAGGCCTACTTTTTAGATAGTTCATAATATATAATTGATGCATTTGAACGAATCTTAATGTCGCTGTGTGATTTCTTTATTTTCTTCATTTTTTATGTTCTTTTGCAGAAGAAATTCGGCAAATATCTTTCCTAGCAGAAGTACATTTCTTAATAATTCGAGGATTGTTTTCCAAACCTTGATTGGAAAAATGTTTTACTTCAAATACATTTCTGGACCGCAAAACAAAACTGTCTACAGTGGCCACACTTGCTTTGGGCCGGCTTCCCATTCTTGTAATCCCCACATATAAGGCCTTGCTCGCGTTCCCTGGTATAACCCAAGCAGTGAGAAACATACCGCACCCCGTCAATGACCCTGTCGCGGTTCCTGTGCTGATGTCCATGAACATGCAATACAGAAGCAAGCTTACGAATCTGTGACTCCAGAGTAGTGCATCCGGCGTAGCGTGTGAAATTAAACCCAACGGCACCCCCTTCAGCAGGTGGGATAATTGGGGACAATCCTAGGGACAGCCGTTCCTGCTGACATAACCATTCTTCACTGGCATCGGGTTTAATAAGATCTTTTCGTGGTAAGAAGTGACTAAAAGATATAACTGGCGCATCGTAAGTCCTATCAACTCTCTCCTTGTTAATGTTTGTAAAATATTCAGATCTTGATTTGAGGTCTAACTTCGGCCACTTACACAGGTGATTGTCCATCCAGATTTGATTCGATTTTTCAGTATTTTCCACAAATTGCGTGGGTCTTACATAGAGGGAGTCTTCGACGTTTTCTTCTGGTGTCGTATACCACGAGAAAAGCGGTACAACCCAGAATTGATCCGCTATCTTCTCTGGGTATGTTAGAACACCGACAGTTTTACACAAGTCTAAAATCTGATGGAATTTATCAATGGAATCCGAGGTGCTGCTTCGTTTGCGAATCCACAGGTCATGATTGCCTGAAGAATAATCAAGACCATACATAGGGGTACAAAAAATGTGGGGGCATTTACCAACTAAATTAAATAAAGAATCGAATTAACGCAGGGTAGGGAGAGAGATAGCACGAAAATTCATGCCTTAGCACTCCTATTTACGATTCTGATATATACTGTCTGCTAACAGACAGTAGGCCTAGGCCTACATATCAGAATCGTCAATTGGAGTGCTATTGCTAACGCATGAATTTTCGTGCTAGGAGAGAGAGAGAGAGAGAGAGAGAGAGAGAAAGACTAGGCTTCATTGCCCATTTACCTGGGACAAAGAATACTCTGAAGAACTTCTCTTTCAGTAACCGAAGAGTCTTCTCCAACAAGTTTATATTGTCCGACACGTCGCCTGCCAATAACAAGCAGTGCGACCCGTACTTTTCTTTATGCCACTTTCCAATAATATCCCAGTTGTCATGGTAATCCACATGGAGATCAGATATGGCATATAACTTTGTCATCCTTACTAATACTTTTTTCATACCCACGCTGATAATGCATCAGACTTAGCACAGGAAGTCATTCCAACACATTTGGACTACTGTCGCCATTTTGTTCATAATCTAGGGTCACATGAGCAACGTTATAGCAGATGCGTTAGAGGAGAAACGAATGTTTCTTCCTATTTCTCTCTAGAAGCGTTTTTTTAAACCGTTTTTTAAATGAACTATGAACTGTGAAGAGTTTATAAAAAAACCGAGCCCACAAATAATTGTCAGCTTTTTCACTATTTTTGTCAATTGGACTGAATGTAGGAATGGGTACATATAACAATAAGCTCAAAGTAAACCGCGCGTTGTTAATTTTCAAGTAGGACTATCTCATTATGTCCACTACATTTTCTCTCTTTTGAGACAATTATTATAGAATCTACATATTATAAAAGACCATCACTAAGTACTTTAACTATTACATGGTATTTCCTCGGGCATAAAGCCCAAAAAACATTTAGGCCTACTCGGTAGATTTTCATTCATGTTCCGCTCAATTTAAATTGTAGGCTAGCATTTCGTGATTTTTTTTTTTTCAAATCAGTGATGACAGTTTCTGAGAAAATAAAATCGGAATTATACATAGGAAGCAAATATAGAGTATGTGAAGAGGTTCTGGCAGGCCCTTAAAGTTACCATTTTAGCGACATTTTCTTTCTATTGACGAAACAGTGACACCAATTTTAATTTAGTACTTAAATGAGATAGGCCTACGTGTACAAGAAAAAGGGAATAGTAGTTCTGTCTTTCATAGTTCATACTTTCTTCAGGACATTCAATAAATTACATCGAGCCCGTTTCCGGCAACTATCAGACCTTCCCGCCATACAAGATGCTAAGTCTCATCGCCTCTCGAACACCTGAGGAGAATGCACCGTGGACTGTTGAAAAGTGATGGGGGCTTGTTGCTTCTCCGGCAAACAGCACCAGTGGATTCTAGAAATATGCAAGACTGGTTTATAAACATCCAAATTAAATCAAGTCGAGTGCGTCTTTAACACAGCTGCTTGGTATTTTAGAGTAAATAAATAAGTAAATGAATATGGTGAATAGTAAACTATGAGTACAAATAACATGAGATAGGCCCTTACTTTTCTATATATCATTTTAATCCTGCTACAGAATTTATGCACGGGCCTACCTTTTGGCAAGGGACTGGATCGGCTAAATCACAAATATCCTTTTCAGACGCACCCACTGGCAAGTAGGAGTAGGATCCAAGGATGTATGGGGTACCGGACCAGTAAGTTCTGAAATTAGATCTGGGATAAGACACGGTTGACAACGATGCTATTTATGTAAATCAGTATGTAAATTAGTTATGTAATCGAAATAATTAAACAGAATATCGACTTTCTTACCAAAAAAGTGAAACTTTAAGTTAAAAAATCGAATCAAATAAACTGAAAGACAAAGAAATTTTTGCATGAATGTATATTTTGTCAAAAATAAATGCTTCTCCCAATACAGGCAAGAGCTTCTATCATGGCATAAAAAGTAATAGATCAATACATTTACCTTGTCATCTTAACAGGATTTGGAATGTTAGCATTGTTAGTGAACCGTCTTAGTATTTCTATCACCACCGCTTGAAGCTCCGCGTCTGGCACCGTCTCCATGGTAACTGCGCTTTTCCCAGAAATCCACATTTCCAAAACATTGGGCAACTTATCTAACACGTCAAAGCTTAAAATGTCTTTGTACCAAGGACACTTAGCCTAAACATAAAAAATACATTCAAGCAGCAACACACAGACACAGACAAAAATAATTTCTTTTTCGCGGGACTTACAGATTGCATAAGTGTAAAACAAATACAAGCTTTAAAGTATACAAAAATATGTAATTCAACACAGACTGAATAGGAAATATCATTTCACAGTAGAATATGTTGATGGGCATAATACGTACAGATATGCTCTCCGAATCTATACAGGAGAGTGTGAAAGGTTGGTTCTCGAGCCAGCACAAAATGATGTCATAATTCTCGTCCCAAAATGGTTTTTCAAACTCAAGATACACCTTGTTGACCGTGCCGAACTTCAGCCGTTTCAAAGCATTCGTCTTCACACCTGGAAGTGGTGGCTGAAAAAACGACTCCGAATTTTCTTTAAGAAACCCCAAAGAAGAGGTTACAATGACATGATCAGCGTTGAATTCATCTCCATCTTCACAGACTACTTTGACTGGGGACGTTTTGGCACAGGATGCTGCATTGACAGGTGATGACAAATCTTGCTGTTTCAAAGAAACGGGGTCGTCCTGATTGTATTGGATCGATTTAACTGGCTTGTCGAAATGTATCCAGTCAGATTGGACATCTTCCACAAGGAGATCCAAGACAGGTTGATATCCGTGCTTTAGCTCTACGTCACGCTGGCTTCCTTCATACTCCAGATAGCATCCCCAATGTTTAATGCAGACCTCGTCCATTGTGTCGCAGCCATTATCGACCATGTTGAACCGAACATACGAATCAAACACGCCTTTCTTTAAAGACACCCTGTCTGGCTGGTCGTCGCACGCTGCTAAATAATCCAAGAAGCGTCTCCTGAAAAAACTGCCAACAGATAGCATCCCTTCGTCAACAGGTAGGCCTTCCCTGTAAAACCTGTCCCCTTCTATATATAATTTATTCATGACTGTGGTCACGTCCCGTGCTATTTTTCCTTCTATTTGTTCACCAAACTGAAATACAGTGTGTAGGTATCATTGAGTATTGCATATTTCAGAATCGATCAGGAAAATTTATACCCAAAATATAAAAAGGTCTAGCAGAATGTAAAATGCTTCCTCACATAATAATAATAATAATAATAATAATAATAATAATAATAATAATAATAAATCCAAGGATGAAGAGTTTACAATTGAAATTATCATACATGAAGAAAGGGACAAACTTTTGAACGTTTTTTCATTGCTTCGGAAAAATAAGTAACATACAACATCTACACTCTCATTTCTAGTGTTTAAAAATACTTTCCAGCTCGAGGCCCCACCTGTGTGAAGTATTGTGCTTCATTGTCACTTTCCTCGCTGCTACTGTCATCTCCAGTATCATTAACCAAATTGTTTGCTTTCGCTAATTTGTAAATGGGATTTTCACCTTGGCCATGAATCCACTGGGCTCCCAACTCTACAATGTGTGGGCCTAAAAAAGTAATATTCTTATGTGTGATTTTTTCATGGCATTACTTATCCTATGAATTATTTCTACAAAAAAGGTGATTAAAAAACATCGTAGAGTAATCTCAGTTACCCCAAGCAAGAAGTTATAAAGAGAAGGCCTTCTCTTTCAGGCCTACCCAACTACCAGACTCGGCACCGAATGATCCTGAATTCACCGGTAAATCGGACCACACTACCCGTTTTCAAGGTGTGTATCAGTACGCATTTCACAGTATCAGACGCGACACCGCTCTTGCCTAGTACGCGATGTGATAGTGACGATTCTCAGCGGGGTTGAAAAGCATTGCATCACCACTCAAAATTTGTTCAGGGTATGTCTTTATAACTTCTTGCCCCAAACTACAAAATAAGTGAAAAGCGGATAATTCATATAAATAACACAAAAAAAGAAACAAAAAGATTACAATTCGGCAACATACCTACAGGTAAAAAAGATTTCATCCAAATATGCTTTTGAAAGTTATTATGCTCTTGCCGCTTTGCTTTTAGATTTTGGTCACGCAGTTTGGGGAATGCTGCGCGCGTGAGGGTGGATGTTTAGGCTGCACTTCATTCGCAATTGGGCCTACACGCTTTCAGATCCCTTTTATTCCAGCTATATCAGCTTCATCACTTTTTAATATTCACGTATTTGCATGCTTATATTTCTATATATAAGAATACAAAAGTGCTAATCTGCGTTGAGTCTGAAACTCAAGCTACGGGATGAGTCTACAGTTTTCTTTTACGACAAAGGATATAATCATTCAAATAAAAATGGGATAAAAATAAATGCCTTTTTGCGGCCAATATATTTTTGAACCTATCCCAGAGCTGATAATCTTGCACAATAAAGCATTATTCCGTAAAAGCAGATTCCGTAAGAGACAACAAAATGTCTCGTCTGCCTCGATCAACCTTGTCATGGCCATGAATCAGATTATACAGTCAGTAAGTAGTGGAAAGTGGCAATTAAGCTTTATTCATTGTATCGTATGCATCTACATGAGTAGATGAAAATGTACAATAGGAATGCAAATATAAATAAATATGAATTATGTTAAAAAGTGATATAGTAGGACTACTTGTAAGAAAAATACAAAACATATTTGGCAAAGCCCAAATGGCTCTACCTACTCAACTGCCAGTTTACTAGTTGGTAATGGGTGCAGCACAGTCCCTTTTTTGGAAGGCTAACCATAAATATTTGGCAAGAGCAATAATATGTTTATTCATTAAGTAAGGTCAACTGGCCTGACCTTAATCTGGGTTTGTGTGTGAAGTGAGTGAATATCTCACACCGTTATCTATGCTATGTCTCACCGTACTGCTTAGTAAGGACCCTGCCCCCAACTCTGTTGCTGGCTTCAAGGATCTTCACGTCTCTAAATCCCCGTTTCTTCAGCTCCCTAGCTGCTGAAATCCCAGCAACGCCGGCTCCAACGATTACTATACGCACGGACTCCATCTGCATTAGCTCTTGGCCAGATCAATACTGCTTATATGCACTTGTGGTGGGACTTCTTATATGTCTGCATGTACCTCTCAGCTGTCGCCCGCTGAATATAAAAATATAGGTCAGGAGCTTTATCCTCTCGATTATGCAAGCAAGGGGGGGGGGGGGTAGGTTTCAACTCACAAGACGGAAGTACGTTGAGGTTATTGATAATCCTGACATTTTGTCTCTTAACACACAGTACACTTCGATACACAACAAAACAGGGGCATGTGTAGGCTCATATTATTTTCAGTGCACCGTGTGTATAAGAGACAATGTCATGATCGGGTTTATCAACAAACTCGATGTTCTTTCTCTTTCGTCTTGGGAGCTCAACCCTCTTGAGCACGCTAGGTTGACAACTTGATTGGTCAATCGATCTGATTAATGAACCTAAAAACCTCAGATAGCCAAATAAC